GTATAACTCCCACAATCTCTCACATAACAATTCCCATACAATGCATCAGTCAGTGTTGCTGCTGACTACTGCCTTTATACCAGGCCAAAGCAGCACGCCTTGTTGTAGGGATTTGGGGGAAGGGGCAGACATGAGGAGGCAATCAAATCAGGAAATTAGCTAAGCCTACCGGATTCTTTTTTTGGGGGGGTGGGGTATTCGGAATTCACCCATTTCTGCTTTTAATTCAGACAAAAATCATTGTGTATGTTAATGGCAAGGTCCTGATATTCATTAATATTAATATCTAACAAACTCTAGAGTTTAATAAATGGACAGGTTAAGTGGATTTTCTTTACAACCTCATAGCTGCCAAGAGACTTCTACTTTTCAATTTGGGGAAATAAATGCTCAACATCTCTTATTCTCTGATCTGAAGCTTTCCCTGCCCTGTGACTACATTCGAATAGTCATCATGCCCATTTGGACATTTTTGCAAACACATGGATACTGTACCTGGTTTTTACTTATAATTGACCATTTTTAAAAAATCTCTTTAATAACATTGGAAACTCTTGTTGTTTCTTTTCATGCTGATGTTCCTAAGTTGTATTTCTGCTGTATCAGTATAAAAACCAATTAAAAAAAAACTTTTAAAACATTTTATTACAACTGTTCTATGAATGATAAATAAGTGAACAAACTATCATTTCTTCATACATCTTTAACGTATACTGGCTGAAATCCTGTTTCTTAGCATAGCAATTTGCAACTAGAGTAGGCCCACTGAATCACTGGAAGTTGATAAACCAACTCCTCTGTTCATTCCGTTGATTCAGTGGGACTACTCTAGTAGCAAATTACTATGCTAAGCCACTGGTTCTTAAACTTGGGTTACTCGGGAGTTTTGGACTGCAACTCCCAGAAGCCTTCACCACCAACTGTGCTGGCTGGGGTTTCTGGGAGTTGCAGTTCAAAAACATCCGAGTAACAAAGGTTAAGAACCACTGTGCTAAGCAACAGTACTTCAGCCTTTGTTTAAATTCTTCTGCTTTTCAGTTCCCAAGCACATTTAGAGAAGCAATCTTACATTTGTTTATCTCACCTATAATAAACATAACATGGATAATAAAAGTGATCTCCATTCCATCATTCTCCAGTCCAAATCACTCCTACTTAGTAGCATTTTGCAAGGGAAATGGGTTATTATTTGGGACTTTGTTTCATACAGCTGTAGTGTCATGTAGGGATGGCAATCCTTGCTCACCTCATCTGGCTCAGGAGGGCAAAGAACTGCAAAGTTATTCTTCTCACACCTGGGAAGAGGGTGAGTTATTTTGTCGCACTCTTACAAGAGAAAAAAATGAGGATGTAAGGAGTGGTGGGTTTTTTGGGTGCAAATTATGCAAAATAATGCTTTAGTGCAGGTAAGGCTTTAACACAAATGACACAGCTTGCACAAAATGATAATGATGGTTGCTTTGTTGCGCTGACTTTTAAGAATTAGAAGCATCAAAGGTGTTGTTTGCATCTTTTTAAATAATCAGCCATTCTGTGCTTGCTCTTTGTGTGTGTTTTCAAAGGGAAAAGAACACTTGTTTTATTCAGAGTCAGTCTGTGTAAATTATGAAGACCTTGATGAGAAAAAAATAATAGCACTCTCTGCCTCACCTGGAGGTGAGGAATTTATTGGGGTTTAAAAATTCCTGGTTGAGGTGTCTCATCAAGATACCTTGAACAGATGAAAAGGAATAATTCAGTGCATATTCTCTCCATTCTTAATGCAATGCAAAGTAGATTTGTCTCTCAAGTACATTGGCTTAAGATCCTACCCTCAATTTTTATTATATTAGGGCTTGTTTTCTCACAGGTGTGAATTAATATGCAAGTATTTCTATTACCAATATAATGCCTTGTGTAAACAAACAACAACAAAAATGCTACCCCCCCACCCAAAGAAAGGGACAATTATTGTGGGATACATCTCCAATACTGTCTGGGAGGTTCTGGAAGTTGTATTATAAAAAAATTCCCACAACTTTTCCCACCTCTGCTCTATCTCGCATTCTAACAGAGAAATATTCTGCAGGAAAGGACCAAAAGGAAATTGCTGCCTTTGTCCTGATTTAGCTCCCTGTGATCTCATTCTTTGCAGGCATTCACGTAAGGAGAGCATTCAAAGTGAGTTATTTCGCTGGGTTCCGAAAACACAGCTGACATCAGACACACAATTCTTAGACAGAAGAAACAGGAATGGCCTGGACATTGTCCTGGAAATGTTCCTTTGGGATACCAGTTGCCCGCTTTAGAGCTCTGCCATTAGATAAAAGGGAAGTCACCCACTCCAAAAGGAAATTTTAGGAGGAGAGAAGAATCTTGTATAGACATTGTCCTGAAGCACATTTCAAATCACTCTCTATATTGGGTTGAACTACTGCCAGTGCAAGTGGGAAACTGAGCCTTTAAATAGGTTTTTGTGTGTATTTGTGTTGTGTCCTGTACGTTCCAGGGAATATCAAGTATGATGTTTTATGAAAGCATGAATTAAGAACCTTAGGGAGCAGAAGAAATATTGATTTTGCACAGTATGCTGCTCGGCCAAGGAAAGCGCTGAAGATAATCAGCAAAAGTGAGCTGTTTTAGGAATGTACCTGTACCCAATCCTGTTTCACTTCCTCAGCTGAAACTTTTTTAAAAAGAAGCACTGAATTGTATGTTTTGTCCGCATGTTATTTCAACATGATTTATATATGAATGAGACTGCAGTGATAGGGCTTTCCAAGATGTGTTGCTAGAGCAAATTAAACACCAGGATTGGTCCAAGACCTTTGTGGATTCCATTCAAACCCATTGCTTTCCTCTGCCACTTGATGTTATATTCTTATCTTCCAGAAGGGGAAAACCTCACTCTAGAGAGTTGGGAAAGTTTCTTTCCCCAACAATATTTACAAACTGGGGAAAAAAGAGATGCTTTTTGAGATCATTTGGTCTTTACTGACAAATTGTAGCAGCCTACTGATGAGTTTGTAATGCTGGGATGAAGTAATCACTTTGCAGACTGGCAGTGAAGCAAAAAAGAAAAGTCACTGGCTGAAATCCTGTTGCACAGCTCTGCATGCGTAACAGGAATTACATTATCAGCAGTGGCAAATCACTGCTGATTTAATATTTATTTGGTGATTTCAGGGTGTATGTATGAGTTATTTACACCCCCAAATTTCAAAATGAAACCTTTGATCAGCAGTGACTTACTACTGCTGCTGACATAATTCCTGCTGCCCACGTGAAACTGCACAATAGGACTGTAGCCACAGATTATTACTTTAAAATCCACTTTAGGAATAGTGCAAGATGATACTCAACAGGATTTTAGAAGAGTGATTTGAAATGTGCTTCAGGACAATGTCTATACAAGATTCTTCTCTCCTCCTAAAATTTCCTTTTGGAGTGGGTGACTTCCCTTTTATCTAATGGCAGAGCTCTAAAGCGGGCAACTGGTATCCCAAAGGAACATTTCCAGGACAATGTCCAGGCCATTCCTGTTTCTTCTCTCTAAGAATTGTGTGTCTGATGTCACCTTGGTTACAGAAGCTCCTCAAGTTTGCTTCCATGCATACAGACTCCACTGGCAGCTATCATTTGCCTCTCTCTAAGGAAAAGAATATATCATAATACACTGAAAGATACAGTTGTTACTCTCAATAGGGCAGCTGCAGCGAAGGAAGGAAGGAAGGAAGGAAGGAAGGAAGGAAGGAAGGAGTTCCTTTTTCCACAAGCCTTAGAGGAGTGAACATGTTCTGTAAAAAGCATAGCTCCAACATGACGGGGCATGTTCTTGGCATATTCCAAATTGTGACTTACAACAAAATAGTAAGCACTTCTTCCATCTTTGCACAGTTTCTCCGAGATCTTTGCCAAGGTGAAAGGGGAAGAAATTAAGCTGACAAGCTGCACACAATCCATTAGTGCAAATTGTTCTGGAAAACAAATCAGAGTTTTTGTTGCTTAAGAGTGGAGATACTGGGGAAAAACATAATCAGGTAGACATCAAGCATAGCCGACAAGAAGGTCACAGATAGGTTTTTGTATCAAGACTGGTTTCATCCTTCTGGGAAATCGAATGAATACTACTGCTGAATTTAACAAAAAAGAAAAAGAAACTTTCAGAATATGAACCCACTTTTTTTTTTAACTCATTTACTCATTTCATTGACACCATCTGTTTTTAAAACAGATCCATTTCAAAATCAGGTTTCTTCTCTTATACTAGATGGTATGCTTTTGCTCTCTGCACCCGACATGCAAAAAGAGTGATGAACTTAGTGCCTTCAAATAGTGGGCTCTCACGGGCACAATCCAGGCACACCATGTCCATATCCCCTTCTTTTCAGTGAGAGAACAAAGTGCCTGCTGAAATGTCTCAAGATGAAATCAATGGGACAAAGAAGTACTTGATTTTAGTGGGATGGTGCCAAATCTATACTTCCAGAATTAGAGTAGGGAGGGATATAATAAAAATTGGAGGGCAAAAATAAAAAAGAAAGCTTTTGTGTCATCTCACTTATGAATCAATAGGCTGTTCACAAATCCAGCCCTGTACAATTGCAGAGATCTGAGCAGCCTTGCCTTATTACTGTACCATAGTTCATTTAATGCTGCAACTATAGTTCATTTAATGCTGTGCTAGCTCCTCTTGCATTTTCCTCATATAAAAGTTAAGTATCCACTACAAAAATGAATCATCTAAACTCCAGGTAAAAGCCATCACAGTATGAAAGTAGAGTTCACGCTGTGAAAATGATATCAAATGTTATATAAAAAGAGCTATCCTATTGAAAGCGCTGGTGGTTTGTAGTTTACCTCCTGTTAGCAGTTCTATCTGTATTGATTTCAAGAACCTGTTCAGAAAGCTAAACTCGGAATTTTTATGAAAGTATTTGTAGAATGCAAGCTGTAAGCATCTTTCCATGAGTGCAAAACCAATATCACTTCATCACTCTTTCACTTTTTCTCTTCCCAAGTCTCTACAAGAAACAGCAGCCCCACAAACACACAAGATACAAGCAAGTGCATAACAAGAACAAAGATTTCAAATGGCTGCAGTTTGGGCTTTGTGGAACTTCAATCAGTCAGTTTGTATAGTGCAAATCAAACAAAGCAAGCAGTGAGTGACCCCCCAACATCTTCTCATGGCACTCTCAGAAAAAGAGGTTACATTGAACTTCCCAAGATACAGGAGTAGGGCTACACGAAAGCCATAGCATCAAAGGCAGAAGGAAGGCAACAGCAATAAACAAGAACTTGTTCTTTAGATGTGGTGGATGGATACGGTCACTTTCAATGCAGGGAGGAAAGGGAGGCAGAAGAGCTGTGAATTACGATCCATTTCACTTCTGTCCAGCCAAAGAAAAAGCAATTACAACATATACTTCAAGTCTGATCACCAAAAAACTGCAAGAAGCTCACTACTGGAATGTAACTAAGCATAAAACCACTTGCCTTTTAGAACGCAGAATTTATGTATAACACTTCAGAAGGAAAAAAAAAACACATTAGAAGTTCAGCAATGTAGGATATGACCAGACAGCCCAATTATCCCAGCCTGGATCAATCTAGATCACACTAAACAGAGTTGCTTTGAGGTGTGGCATGTGATTTGGGTTGATCCTTGCATCCACATGCAAGAATCAACCACACCATATTTCAAGCAGTCCTGTTTAGCCTGATCTAGACCCATCTTCTTTCTCTTTGAAGGGAAAGGAAAACATAACACCCTCCTGTCCCCTCCTCTGTGCATTGCTTAAGCCATTTAGTAATCTTGAGAAATAGAAAGTTTCCTTTCCATTCATCTGTGGAAAGAAAGAGAAAGGAAATTTTCCATTTCTTTTGAATGGCTGCTGAGTGCATCAATGATGCATTGAAAGGGCTTTTTAAAAAGCCCTCTAAAACCCAGGGTGACTCTGCTAAACAGATTATAATGCCACCTCTACTCTATCTGCACTTCTTATACTGTATAAACTTAAAAAGCTGCCTCATCTGAATCCACCCATGGTCATTTAAGGGAAGTTACATGTAAAGGAACATAAAGATTTACAGCATCAGTAGTCTCTAGCATTGTTTAAAGACGCATGAAACTGCACGCAGTTAAACAGAAAGAGAAAGAGATTAAAAGGATGAAAATTATCTCTAATTATTCTGGGCAAGGTACTTTGTACTGAATTACACTGAACAGGACTCTCTTTTCTTTACTCATTACCATGCTATTGTTGAATGATTTTATTATAAAACTAATCACATCATTTGCGCCAATTGTGAGTTCTACCATATGTTTGTAACATCTATTTGGTTGCATTAAAACCCCGGATGTGCCTTCCTAGTCCTTCTGAACCACACGTGGGTGTTTTACATGAATTTACAGAAATTTACTATTATGTTTGGGTATGGAGACAACTTTTCAAATATCCTGACTCCATGGAGTCAGCAGGCAAATGGGTTCATCTGTGAAGGTGGGGGAGAAACAAAAGATAAAAGCAAAATCTACTTTTCTTTTTTCACTCACCTGCCCCTCTTTCCAGACCAATTACTACCATTAATTGTAGTTATTATTACATACAGTGATTTATATAATAAATTATCACAAGTCCTTCATTTGTCACCTCATGAAATGCCATCTTATAGCGTTTCCAAAGGTTAAAGGAATATTGGTGATAGAAATTATTTTTTAAAAGAAACCAGAGCACAAAGCGGGCTCTGTCAGAATATGTGGTCTGGAAGTTATATGGAAAGTGATCTTTTCTCAGAAATTCTTTAGTTGTGGAATTCTGTTCTGACCTCTGGGTAATTTCCTAGCTCTCTTTCAGCTCTACAACTCTGTGATCTTGTGTCAGTTTGCTGCACGTTGTTCAGCTACGGTGAATATAGGTACTGAGTTTTATGGCTTGGAAGAACTAGAAGCTACAAGAAGCCGGTAGCCAAGATGTTCATTGCTCATGTTTACTGGAAGATTCTGGGCCCTGTTGCTCCAAAAGTAACTTTTTTGAATTCTGCTGAATATATAGGAGGCAGAGCTGGAAAATATCCATTTTTGCCCTCCAATTCCAATGTTTACACAGGTGTACTTGCTGTCTTCGGTGGCCTGTAGGCCTAGATGCGTATTTTTAATACAGCCGGACTGAGATGAGTATCAGAATCTATGTGATAAAGCTCCTTGTGTAACATTTCAAAGCCAAAACAGGATAAGTGGAAGATGTCTAAACCTGTCGGGCTAGACACATTATCTGTGCAAAACAGAATTCCCAGCTTTGCTGAGCTCCAAGGGTGGGAGGAGTTGCTTTAACTCTTCCCCCTGATTCCTCATGAGTATCTACATCACAACATTCCACCTAGCTTCATCAGAAGAAGCATGGACAATACTTCTTGAGAGGTGGGAAATGCTCCAAGCCACAGGACACATGTTTTCAGTGAGAAGAGGCAAAAAAGCATGAATTTAGGAGAAAAGAAGCAGGGGACTGGACCTGCCCACAAACAGTCCTAGATATTTGCACATCTTAGTAGATGTTTGCAATATTGGAGAGGATGAATAGTAGTTAAGGAAGGAAGAGTGGAATGACAGCTTTATGAGGTTACCAACTTTTTTTTTGCAAGAAGTGGCCATCCAGACGGAGAGAATCAGTGAGTTGTATTCCCAGAACATAACTTCCCAAAAATGTAGCGCAGAAAAGTACCATTCACCATAACTTTTCTATTCTCCATGGGTTAGGCAGTACATTGGTCTTAAAAGCATTACAAACCACAGTATTTCCTAAAGTCTATTCACCCATCCTTCTGACTGAGGTTATCCAGCAGCCGGCAAGGAAAGGGAATCTGACTACATATCTGTTGACAAGCAGCTAAACTATACTGTTCTGACAGACATCTAGGATATTCTTTTGAAGAAAATACTGGCTTTTGAATGTGTTTCATTCATCTTGAATGTTTTAAATCTGTTCTTGATCTGTTGTAAATAGCGTTGAGAAACTTGGTGGCCAAAAACAACTGTATTGCATAAATAAATACATGCATACATACATATACTGTACTATCCATAAGAATCCAAGCTCCATATATTTATTAGTGCAAAAAAATACTGTACATCTCTCTTTTGACTATCACCAACTAATGTCCCACTGAGGAATTAGAAGCCTATTGACTGCCATTCTTGCTGTTTTTTTTAACTGCTGTTCAGAGACACAGGAAAGACTATTAGGTTCCCCTCCCATCTGTGCTCAAAAACTCCCACTGATTTTCTTGATTTCAGGTGTGTTATTTCAAGACCCACATCTTGAATTAGTCGTTTCTCAATGGAGCTTTATAAACTTTTCAACTCCTGGAAAGTCACTTATGGACTTTAGCAAGGTCAGGTTGCAAATGAGCAACTATTGCTTTATTTGTGATCTGTGGCTCTGAGGGATTAATTGTCCCCATTCGGACTCATCCACCGTCTAAGACCGAATTGTCAAAATGATCCATGGCTTTCGTCCCCAGGCCCATGGTTTCATTATTAAGGTGCGTTCTAATCAATAGTAGCATTTTTAACATTTTGCCCCCTACTTTTTATCAATCCCTATTATCTAATGACCAATACTGAAGCGATGCAAGGTTTTTTCAGACACACCACTGACAGATTACATCAGGCACCTTGTATGCATTTGTAATTGGGCTTGATTACCATTATACAAACTGAATGGGAGCAAAGAAAAATGCAGGCAACCAGCTGCAGTGTGCTGCACTAGGTGCTCTGTTGCTTTGTAGGCAGTTTGTTAGAAATTTTTAATTCTGAAAACAAAACCGCAAACTCGGCGTCATCATCTCTTTTCCACTCAATTCAGCACTTGAATCTTCATTTAAACCAGAGACCTTGAAAGCTGAAAAGGGTTCTGGAAATTACACCATGAACGCCACAAAAGACTTCCCTTTTATAACAGCCTATGTTTTTTGTTTTGAATCTCGCTTGGTCTGTATATGGAATGGAGGTCCTTGAGAAATAAAACAGGGAATAAGGTGGTTGTTCAAAAGAAGTGGAGAGAAGTAATGAGATGCCAAACTTTCCCCTGACTATCTTTTTATCCTGAGGAGCCAGTTTGCTTAACAGACTGTGGGCTAAATCACTAGTGGATGGTTTATAATGCCTATATGTATGTAAAAGTGCACTTCTTTCCATCCCAAATATAAAGATATTAGAAAATTTGGATAAATTTTTCAAAATCATACTGAAATGAAATTTTACTTCATTTGCATAAGCCAAATTCAGCAAGTACAGGTATTCCCAGAATGGATAGGATTGTGTTGCACCTGCCTGTCACATAGGTGATAAAGACAAGGGGCCCCTGCAGATAAAAAGAGGTGTCATAGCTAATATGAGCATTAACATGGAGGTATACAATGGCATGCAAACCCAAACTTAAAGCTGTTAAAAACTCAAAGCTACTCAGGTCTGAATGACTGGAGGAATCTGTCAGCTTTGTTCTTCCCCACATTCTCATTTTAAAATCTCAGTTTCTTCCGTCCTAAATCTGAATAAGTATGTGAATGTGGGTAAATTCTTAGGGGACAAAATTAATTGAAATAAAACTCTTACTTCTCCATGATATAATTTAGTCTTTCTCAAAGGCAACTTGTGGGGTTGAAGGGGAGATGCTTGCCTTAAGATTTGGGGGGGAGGGGCATCCCCTACCCAAATCTTGAACCATTTAGGATAATCTATATATCAGCATAATGTTCGAGGTAAGTGATAAATAAAGTAAAAACAGAGTGAAAAGAAGTGAAAGGAAGTTTAATATTTGGGGTGAACCCAGATGTTTCATGGTGTTTCTAAAGGAAGGGAGTTGAGGGGGTGTCAGTGACCTTTCCTCCAACCAAGGTTGCTTTGCTTGCTTCCCAGAATGCCACTGAGAGTCCTGCTGCTCCATAGCTATACAGGCAGCAGAGGAAGAACAAATAAGCAAAGGAGAGAGTAGTCCCATTTTAAACTCCAAAATAGACAGCGAGTTTAAAACTTTTCCCCATCTCTAGATTTGCCCCATGTCTGTTGTCAACAGCTGGCAAGCTCAGGCCACATTGAGGTTACAGCACCTCAGCAGGCCCCACTCAGCAGGTACCAAGGTCTCACTCTCTTCTCTCCCAACAAGCTACAGTGGGGTCTCGACTTACGAACTTAATCCGTATTGGAAGGCAGTTCTCAGCTCGAAAAGTTCTTAAGTCGAATCTGCATTTCCCATAGGAATACATTGAAAACCATTTAATCCGTATCTGCTCTTTTCGTCCATAGAAACTAATTGGAAGCTGCTATTCCACCTTCTGCCACTAGAGGGGGATATTTTTTCTTTTTTCCTCTTAACCTAAGATGACTTAGCTTTAAAAAAGGGGGGGGGAAGAGTTTGTAACTCGAATCTAAGTTCGTAAGTCGAGTCCATATATTCCTATGAGGGCGGTTCGT